GCCTGAGGGTGCCTGCTTCCCTCACAGCCGCCATCCTGGCTCCAAGAATTCTCTCCAGACCAAGTCCACCTTGCAGCAGTGTGGTGGCTTCACTGTACCAGTCTTGAGGAAAGTCGGTGCCCAGCCTCCATCCTGGGTGAGGGAATCCATTCGTTCCGGCTGTGGAAGCCTCATGGAGCTGCAGTGGCTGTGCGGCGCAGCGAGGGCTCTGCAGGGGTGGGGGGGTTGGGAGCCACGAGACTCACCCATTTCTCTTTGGGAGTCCTTGGATTCCTGTTGTTGAGCCTCAATCTTCACTGAGGGCCAGTCATCAACTGTTTAAGTGTTCAATTATCAATAAGCCGAAGTCTGTGGAAGGCCATAATGGCCCTGCTTTAAGTGGTTTGCTGCTCCTGCAGCTCACCACGGTGTCTCTGCCTCTGCTGCCATCTTGGATCTCCCTGCACTGATATTCTTGTTCTCCAGTGCTTTAAACTTTACAGAGAATTTCGACAACACATGTGCCCAATGCAGTGTGTTGTTTAGTTTCTTGACTGCTGATCCATAGGTGTCGACTATGCATCCAAGTAATTATTAACAACTTCAATCTTTTCTTCATTTGTCAGGTTGTTACTTATTGGTCTAATTGAGGGGATTTTTTTAAACTTCTTGATCTTAAGATGCAATCCATACTGAAATCTAGAATATCTTTAATCAGTGTGTTAAGTAACTGCAAGCAAGATTGGTGTCATCTGTTTAATGTAGTCTGTTACTAGGTTTTCCTCCCATCCTGTGATACTACATTCTTCATATACTATAGCTTTTCAATTTATTTGCTTAGCATACAGTTTGAATCAATTACAAACTCAACTACTTGTCATTGAATTGGAAGAATCTCATAGCTGACCTTCCTTTGGATTGTGAAGGCCCTAAATCACATGCCGAAGAAATTGTTCATCTTTCTCCTGCAGAGCTGCCGGTGGATTTGAACTGCTAGAAAGGCACAGCCTTCAGATGAGTGGTATAGCTCTCCATGTATGACACTACTAGAGCATGGAGAAGGGGAAATATTGAGTTTAGAAATAATAATATGTGATTTTTTAAAAATCTACATTTTTTTAAAGTATATAACTTAGATTATTTGTACATCATTACATAATGGTAAGGAATTGTGCTGTCAACCCAAAGGCATGCAGTTTGAATCTGCCAGCTGTTCCATATGAAAAAGATGGGGAATCTCTTCTTATGAAATTAGCTGCCTCAGAAGACCTGCTGGAATGTCAGCTATGAGTCAATCCCAACTTGCCTGTGCATGACAACATATTTGAAATTCTGGTGGCCTAGTTGCAAAGAACTGCCATCTCAAAGGCACATGGTTCAAATTCATCAGCTTCTCTGTGGGAGAAAGATAGACAATCTCTTTCTGTGCAGTTAAACTGCCTCTGTAAATCCACTCTAGATTCAACTATGGGCCAGTTCACAACAACATTGCAACTTTAAACAGATTACATTAAAATTTAATAATTCTTATACTTCATAT